AGGGGGTCCAACTCGTCGAGTGCATGAACCAACTCGGCGAGTTGGATGAGTTTTGCCTTGGACTCGTCGATTCCCTTTATGGACTCGGCGAGTCTGCTGTTCAGACAACAAAAAACTTCGATTTTTCAGCAATTTAAGCAAGTATAGCAAAAACAAGCCTAGGCTCTGATACCACTGTTGGGTTTTGAGCATTCTAACACTCCTAAGTGTACATGCAACCCTAAATACCTTGGATCTATGTTTTCTCTATTATACATGCAAATATGAATATTCCAAGGTATTACCCTATCTTGCATACAATCTTTGATACTTGGGTAATAAAAACAAGTTTGAAGACATACCTTTTTATGTAGCTTGATTCCTTGATGCTTAAGAGCCGAGTGCCCCAAGTGTGACACCTCAAATGGTTCACACAACATCAAATACACTTGGAATAACTTAGAGAGAAATGAACCACTTCATGAAATCGGCTAGCCCTCACCATACACACATAGTTCTTTCATGGTGGCCGATTTTGACAAGAATAAGATGCTTATATAGTTTGTCACAATTAGGGTTACACCATGTAAACCCTAATTGTCATGGCCTTTCATTTCCATCATCCATGGATACAAAAACACCATGGAGCATCCTATGGGTTTTAGCCCAACTTGATAATCCCCATGGAGCATTAGCCCAGTATACAAGTATGGATGATTTACACAATCAACCCATATATTTAATTAGTCTCCTTTTGATCACTTAATTAATTCCAAATTAATTCTTGATCAATACTAATTAAATAATCTTATTAATATATTAGAACTTATAATATATTAGCAAACCTTAAGTGTTATTTCTCTCATTTTAGTCTATCCAAATGCATGATGCCATGCAACCCAAATGGACATGCCAATCGGGTCATGTACATACCAACTATAGTTATGGACTTAGACACTAATCCAACACTTTTGTGTCAAGGACCAGGAACTTTGAAAAGAAGTTACAGAAGGGTTTGCAGGTTTATTTCGGATGCAACTAGTCAGGTCATATGAAGGCCGAATGTCCACTTCTTGCAGAGAAGCCAATTCAGGCTCCTGCTCCTACGATCCCACACATCATTGATGGGCGCCAGGGGAAGGTTGAGGCCCCGACGGCCAAGGGAAAATCTGTTCTATTGACTGCAGAGGAGGCCAGAGCAGCACCCGATGTCATTGCTGGTATGTATATGTGCTATATTTCTACTGAATTATTTTTATTGTATATGCTTATGTTGTGATTTTTGTAGGTACCTTTCTTGTGAATTATATACCTAGTTTGGTGTTATTTTACTCGGGTGCGAGTAGGTCTTTTGTATCTACATCTTTCTATAAAGGTTTCAATATTGGTCGTGGGGACCTGGATCGACCTTTGAAGGTTGCTATAGCAGTTGATCGTATAGTTTCGATTTCTGAGGAATAGTAGGGTTGTGTATTGGAGATTTTCAGTGTGGGGTTTCCGATTTATCTCATCCCTATTGCGATGGTAGATGTCTGCGTGATTGTGGGTATGGATTGGATGAGTCCGTTTGGGCTACTGATTGACTATAAGAATTACTTAGTGACGATTCGTGACCCTAGTGGGAGAGTTCTGGCCATCTACGGTGATGGTACTAGGGTTGGATTCACCTTCTTTTCTGTCGCCAGGGCGAGGTAGTATATTCAGCGTTGATGTACGGGGTATCTTGCTTACGTGGTCGATACGCGGGTGGAGAAGAAGAAGTTGGTTTATGATGTTCCAATTGTGAGCGAGTTTCCTGATATTTTCCATGAGGAATTGCCTGGCATGCCTCCCGAGAGGCAAGTTAAGTTTATGATCTATTTGATCCCTGGTGCCGCCCTAATTGCAAAGGCGCCATATCGCCTCGCGCCAGCGAAGATGCAAGATTTGTCCTCACAATTGCAGGAGCTGTTGGGAAATGAGTTTATTCAGCCAAGCAACTCACCATGGGGAGAATCGATCCTTTTTGTTAAGAATAAGGATGGTTCGCACCGGATGTGCATTGCTTACCGGTAATTGAACAAGCTGACAGTGAAGAACCAATACCCATTGTCGCGGATTGACGACCTTTTTGACCAATTATAGGGGCATCTTGGTTTTCTAAGATTGACTTGAGGTCCGGTTACCATCAGATGAGGGTTCGGGAAGAGGATATCGTAAAGACGGCCTTCCGAAATGGCTATGGATATGACGAGTTCGTAGTGATGCCTTTCTGGCTCACCAATGTGCCGACAACGGTCATGGATCTCATGAACCGGGTGTGTAGGCCTATGTTGGACAAGTCAGTGATTGCATTTATCGATGATATCTTGGTCTATTCCAAGACCAAGGAGCAACATAAAGAGAATCTACATGAGCTTCTTGGAGTTCTTAGGGCGGAAATGTTGTACGCCAAGTTCTCCAAATGTGAGTTCTGGTTGCACGAGGTCCAATTTCTGGGGAACCTCATCAACCAGAATGATATATTGCTCGAACCGACCAAGATTAAGGTGGTTATGTGGTGGGAGGTTCCTAAGTGTCCATCCAAGATTCTAAGTTTCCTCGAGCTGGAAGGGTATAATCGGAGATTCATCAGGATCTTCTCCAAGATTGCAGTTTCTCTCAGTAGACTGACTAGGAAGGATGCCACTTTCGGTTGGGGGCCTAAGCAGCAGGCAACATTTGAGACTCTTCTGTAAAAGCTATGTGAGGCTCCGGTGCTTACCATCCCTAAGGGAGTTAAGGATTTCGTTGTATATTGTGACGCATCGATCATGGGCTTGGGCAAAATACTAATGTAGAGGGGGAACGTGATTGCTTACACTTTGAGGCAGCTGAAGCCTCATGAGACGAATTATCCTACTCATGATCTGGAGTTGGGGCGGTGGTTTACGCCCTCAAGATTTTGCGTCTCTATCTGTATGGGGTTCGGTGTACCATTTACATGGACCACAAGAGTTTGATGTATCTGATGGATCAACCCTATTTGAATATGAGATAACTAAGATGGATTGATGTAGTGAAGGACTACGACTATGCAATCTTATACCATCCGGGTAAGGCCACCATGGTGGCCGACGCACTGAATCGCTGGGCGATCAATACTCTAATTCAGAATATATGTTTGAGGATAACAATAGTGACTCCAATATTAGAGACGATCATGGTTGCTCAAATGGAGGGCATCAAGAAGGAGAACTAGAAGCGTGAGAGGGTGATTAGTCAGGTTTCAACTTTTGTCATAAATAACATAGGGTTGTTGAAACTACATGGTAGGGTTTGGTTGCCATACACTGGTGGAGCTCGATAGGTTTTGATGGATAAGGCCCACAAATCGAGATTTTCCATCCACCTGAGAGCTACAGAAATGAATCATGACCTGAGACATGGCTATTGGTGGCCATGCATGAAGAGAGACATAGCTTGGTTCGTTGAGCGGTGATTGACCTTATGGAAGGTCAAGGTCGAACATCAGTGCCCTTATCGTAAGTTGCAACCCTTGGAGGTCCTATTGTGGAAGTGGGAGCAGATTATGATGGTTTTTATTACGACACTTAAGACCGCCAAGGGTTTTGATGCCTTATGGGTGATAGTGGACCGTTTGACGAAGAGCGATCACTTTCTGGGTATATGTGAGAGCTCTCATGCCAAGAAATTAGCTGAGGTTTATGTTCGGGAGGTGGTAGCTCAAAATGGTGTGCCTACTTCTATTGTGTCTGATCGGGATGTCCACTTCACTTCTAGATTTTGGAAGAGGTTTCATGAGGAGTTGTGTACCCGATTGCATTTCAGCACCACCTACCACCTATAGACAGACGAATAGAGCTGGCGGACTAGCTAGACACTCAAAGACATGTTGATGGCCATCATTATTGACTTTCGTGGGAGCTGGGAATCCTACCCCCCGTTGGCTAAGTTCTCCTACAACCACAACCATTACACTAGTATTGGTATGCCTCCCTTCGATCTTCTCTATAGTAGGAAGTGTCAGACCCCTATCTATTGGGGAGAGGTCAGACAGAGGGTCATAGGGAGCATTGAGATAGTACTCAAGATGACAAAGCTTATACAACAGGTTAGAGAGAGGTTACATGTAACATCCGTAAGTTAGGGCTAGTCAATTTGACTATTATAAGCATTAAAATTGAATTTTTGACGGAGGATTATTTAGGGTAAATAATCTTAGCCAATGTTATAGTATATGTGACGAGGATTTCGTACATATAAAGAACGTCCAAATCCAAATTTAAGTGAAGAAGCTATGTCCTTCTGAAGTTTCGTGTTCGAACCGTATATGGTAAATAATGAATTGGAGATAGGTTGGTTTTTAGCCATTGTGATCTAAACAAAAGTTGTAGTAGTTGTTGAACTGAGAATGTGCATATAGAGAACGTCCAAATCTGCATTCGTGAGAGGAAGTTAGGATTTTTACAAGTTTCAGCGTACCAATATACGGCTCAGAAACTGAGGTAGAGATCGATTGATTGGTAGGAAAAAACAATCTAAATGGGAGTTGAAGATATCGTCCTCTTGATTCCATCGATATAAATAAAGTCAAGAACGGATATCATATGAGAGAGTTATGAATTTTTAACTCACTTTAATAATATAAGCGTGTTAAAATATAACATTAAAAATATCGTCAAAACTAGCCGACATAGTCTAAATGAAAGTTGTAGATCTCGTCGATAGCTATACGTGGATATAAAACCCTTTGAAAATAGGGCTCGTATCACTACTATAAAACATGCCTTTAATGACACGCTATTTACGACATGCACTGATTAATGATACGCAAAAGTATGTTCCCTAAAAATAATGTCAGATCTTTAGAAATTTGAAGAATTTAGGAGGCGCATTTTTGCGTGCCCTAAAATTTGTGTCACAACAAAAAAAAGTAAAAACACGGAGGGCGCTTATCCAAAAAAAGCGTGTCGTATACGTATGTTGTTTTATAATTTTTTTAGGAAACGCACGTTCTCTTATAATAACAAAGGGGGGAAATGAAATCCCAAAAGTTAAAAACCCCGCCTTGTGTTCTTCTCTCCCTTGTTTTCACTAGTCGAAAAATCTCTTCTCCTTACAAGCCCTATGTCCGATTGACACAGAAGCAGGTTCGATTCTTCTCTTATATGTTATCTTGAGCTTGATTTTCGATATTAGAATAGAATGCAGGGGTTAGTTTTTAACTATACTAAATTCCACAAAATCGCAAGAACCATTCTTGCTCGGGATATTTTCAAGAATGAAAATCTCAGTGTTCTCTGGCCTCTGCAACAATCATAGATCTCACAGTGCCGGAAAATTCTTTGGTTACTCTTCCTCCGACAATGAAATTGAAATCAAAGGTTCGAGGTCTCGTTTATTATACACATTATATATCGACACATTCATAGACCCTCCATCTGATTCTCTCGATCGTTGGTTCCTAAGCGACAAGTCCTCCCCAATCACCGTTGGTAGCCATGGCCTGCTTGTAAAGCCACCACCGGCAAATGACCGTCGCACCCCATAGCTACATCGGAGACCTTCGACCTCTCAGCTACATGTTCTTTTTTCTTCAAATTTTTCCTAGGTTTCATTCATCTTTTTTGTTCCTAATATTCCATGGTCTTTCTCGGTTGCTGATATCAAGAATTTATTTACTGAATTTGGAGTTGTAGCAAATATTGAGGTTTAATTCCTCGCATCAGACATGTTTTTTTCATTGTTGTTTGAGTTTGTTTGTAGCGGTTGGCATACGTAATCTATATGTGCAATCTATTTAGTCTTCGCAATTAAGGTTTCAAAACAATTTTGCAATTTGTCTTATTCGTTTGACTAAGTTTTTGTGGCTTTGAATCGATCTGTCTAAACGATCGAGTGATTATCCATCCATTAACTTTAATTCACTATAGAAGTAAACTTGTTAACGCTGTTAATATATTCTTAATGCATCTTCACTTGATTTTGATTGGCCTGTAACTTCACTATATCAGATTCTGTTTTGATCAAGTGTAAACGAAAATTGCTGCATTTTTTGGTGATAAATGTGCAACATTGATTGATGCTTTTTGAGTATCAAACTGGTTTGCTATTCCCAACAGTTTCTCATCTTTCTCACAATCCAATTTTTTTCCCCAAACAACTTGTTATTATACCTATCTTTCTGATACAAATGATAAATCAACTCTCACAATTGTTCACATTCAAAGTTCAAACAATATCTTCTTCCACTTGGGTAATTTTGAAGTTTGTTTATCATATAGCTTCATCTTTCAAGAGTTATAGCTATTCTATTTCAGTATCTTGCATGTGTGTTCATGTTTAATGTTCAATTATCACATCTTTCCTTGTGGTGTGCAGTTGAAATGTGAAAACTGTCATGAGGTGACTGAGAAGGAGACATGCGTGAGCCTTGAACGAGACACTTCCTCTACCAAAAAAGGGTACCACTAATCTTATCCAAAATGTTATCTATCTATCATCTCTTTACATTTAAATCAAATTCAAAGTGATACCATTTTCAAAGAAACTAAATGATGTAGTTTATTGTTTATGGTGTATTAGTGTAAGTTCTATAAAAGGGAAGGAAGAGTGACAAGGAGACGTGTTCGAGGGTCTCCACTCACTAATGAGTTGAGTGAGGGAGGAAAGCATGCTGATTTGATGGTATTTGATTGTAGGGTTTTTGAACCTTTGGATTTTGCATTCAGTAGTGTTCATCTCTGAGTGCATTGATATTTTGGTCTCTTTCTCTTGATGCAGATTCATCCTTGGTTGGACCAATATTATGTGCCATTGTGGTTGAAATTGGTTTATTTCTTGATTTTATATTATCAGTATTCAAGCATTCCCTTTAAAGGACCATAATTGAAAATTGAAGGGTACCACTAATCTTATCCAAAAGGTTATTAGATAATTATTATTATCTAGTTAGTTAGGAATTGTTTCCTTGATCCGTTTTAATTAGGAAAATTGAAATGTTCATTGTTGGACTCTGAAAAAGGACCATAATTGAAAAATGTTCCAATTTTGAAGTAAAAATCAGTAAGCACATGCACCGTTTTTGTAATTTACTGATAAGAAAAGGTGGTGGGGTGATGGTTATTGTGTGTTTACAGATAATGCATATGACACAGCTGATAAGTGGCTTCTGAAAGAGAATATGCCAAGAAGTAGTTGAGTTTATATTACAAAATTCAGGACAAAAAGATTTCATTCTTGATTCATCATTCCATGATCCTTACACTGGTTGTAAGTACACATACATATCCATCATCACAATCACATGACATGACATACTGTGATTGTGATCCAATACGGATAATTATGTTGTTTTATTATTTATCCATTTTAGATTTCTGATTAATGGTTATAACCAATATGTTATGTGACAACCCGAAATTTCTATCTTGTATAGTTATTCAAATCAATCAAAGTTAGACTTGTTTCTGCTACCTTCTAGCATTGTTTAGAGTCAATTTAAGTGTTCTAAGCCTAGTATCTTCAAGTTAGAGTTTAGATTTGGGTTCCACAAGTTCACCACTTCCCAAAATGGCCAAACACTTGGTTGTACATCCGTACACCCCCTCTGGCCGTACACTCTAGTCTATAAATGAAAGGGTTGGCCTTCATTCAGCCCTTTTCACACTCCTAGTCAAGAACTCATTCTCTCTCAAGTATCATTTAATTTTTCCTACTAGATCTTCAAGTAGTAAGTGTTTCTTCCTTTGATTTGTTGATTCCTTACACCATCTAGTAAACATCATTGATTTCATCCTTGAAATCACTTCATTTTGGTAGATCTTCAAATGTTCTTCAGTTTCACCAAGAACACCTACTAAGTTCTTGCGCTCCAAACACCCCTAAACGCTTCTATATCGTAGGTACCCTTCTTATGCTTGTTACTTACTGTTATGACCCTTAGAAATCATCCCATCAATGATCATGAAGGAGTGTACGGCCGTACACACCTCATGTGGCCGTACACCCCTTTGTTTAGTGCTTAAAGGCCTCAAACTCAAGTTGTATGCTAGCACATAATCAAGGACACTTAGGGGATGAAAGATATAACCTTGTAATACACTTTTTGACCATTTTCTCAAGGAGTGTACGGCTGTACACTCCGTGGCCGTACACCCAAGAGGCCATACACCTGGTAGCCGTACACACACAAGTGTGGCTGTACACCCATTTTATGCAACCCTTTGAGCTTCTAACACTTCAATCTAAGTGTTTTCTAAGTCCTAGGGTGTTTTCCTTACATGATTAGTTGTATAAACACTAATTATATACATATATGTGTCAATATATGCTTATTAGGATCCGTTGTGCTCAAGTCTTCACTTGGCACTTAGCACCCTACAAACCGATCTTTCATTCGTATCACTCACTGCAGGTGAGTTCATACCCCTTTAACTTACCTTTTAAATGATTTTAAATGCTTTTATGGGGGGGGGGGGGGAGATACAAGTAGAAACACTATAGTTATTATATCAATCACATGTTATTAATAACTATCAATCAAATGGTTTTTTTATACTTCAAACTATGTTTTCAAACAAACTCCTTCAATTCGTTTTACAAACTCTTTTATATGCAAAACTCTTTATCAAACTCTTTCAAACTTATATTTTATCAAAAGCATATCTATACAGATATAGTTATATAAGTAGGATTGAAAGGACTTAGGACTGACAAATCGCCTTATTTCCTGCTCCTTGTTTGGTTGTGGACTTAGGGTATCGATTGTTTGTCCGAAGGTCGTTTGAATCTTAGTTATATATTATGTGTATGTATATAGATATAAAAGTTCTTCATTCAGTTTAGATCCTTTGGGTAGCAAATGTGTTCAATCATGTTCATTCATACCAACAACATTGCTAGTAAACTATAATAGGTATAGTTTAGGAAGTCACTAGTACTATTACTAGAACAATGAAACATACTAAGAGTCAGTTCATACATGAGTCAGTGCATACTATAACGAGAAACAATACTCACTATAAAGAGAAATAGATAGAGAATACTATAACGAGAATCAATACTTACTACACACTATATACTAGAGAACATACTACATACTAGACGGAGAGAATACTACACTAGAACATACTATAATACAAGAATACTATAACGTTAATGTGAGATACTACTTCATGGTGTGGCATATACTGTTGTGTAACGTTTTGTACCCAGAGTCTCCTGGAGGGAGATCGTGAATTTGTGTATAGATCTATACGGGATTGACCATCCCACACATTGCTGCTAGCTACAGTGGGACCTGCAAGTCTACGGGTGACGAATGTCATATCATTTCGACGTCTCGAACGTCGTGTTATACTAAGTCAATCAAGTATGGATACAATAATATCACATTTTACCTTAATTAAACTAACAAGTTTAAGGGTAGTTAGTACATTAGTAGTTACGTAGATAAAACTACTAGTACATCTTTATTTTCCCATTTCATTCACATTGTGATCTTCTCACATAACGGTAATGAAAAACTATATTTTGGTAATGATAGTCATACTTTGGGAAAATTTGAACTTTTACAAAAGAACAAACATAGAAAACAGTTGAGTATTGGTAGAAGACTACTTTAGTAGAAAATATAGGATTTTCTAGGAAGGTTACAAACATTTTCATCAAAAACTTACAAACTCTTACATCAAACGTTTACAATACTTTCTTCAAACTTATACAAACAATGACATTAAAATACTTATGAACTCACCAGCTTAACTGATGATCTACACTTTCAAAATAACTTGTATTCTCAGGTCGCCAGTAGACAGGTACCGATGATTTGGTTTTTGAGAAGATGGGGCACATTCAAGACTTATCTCTTATTTTGATATTCATTTTTGGTGTCTTATAAACTGCAGAACACACTTGTATTAAAATTATTACTATTAATGCAATGGATGATGATTGGCTTGTTTACTATTATACATTATTGTGATACTGTACATGACGTCCTCCACCCCCGAACGTTTTCCGCCGTTCCGGTTTTGAGGTGTGACATGTTATGTATTATATCATTTTCAACCAGTGCTTATGTGCCAGGGCAGCCTTCTAGGCCTGGTGGTATGTTTTGTGCTGATTAATTGCCAGTTTCTGGATATGTATATGAATATGTATAGAAAGTAATTTTTTAATATGAACAAGGATAAAAGTGTAATGGTTTGGTTGTTTTCTTTTCTGATTTGAACTGCCAGACACATACAAAGGAGTATCCTTTGGGATCCGCCCTTGAGGCCACCAAAAATACTTTGATTCAAGGCAGTACAAACCTCTTATTGGTAGATCATTTTGATTCCACTCTCATACGTACATACATACCATGTGTATTATTAATTAGTTGATATTGATATTGTACAACTGACATGATTATTGTGTAGGATTTCCGTGTTGTTCTTGATCAAGAGTATGGATTGATATTGAAGCTAAGAGACATGATGATTGGTTGGATACATGAAGGGTTTCAGAGTTTCTTAAGATAGCTTAATGATGAGTTACTTAAACAAGAAGGTGCCCCTTTATAACAATGTAGTATTAGGTTATATAGTTAGGGAAAACCTCTTAATAATAATGTACAATCAGATCCCTTTAATATCAAAGTATTATAATTTTTTGACATGATGTTATTGGATGAAATTGATTGTTTTGGTATATATTTGTTTCTATATTTTTGTATTATGCGTAAAAGAGTATCGTAAATGCACGTCGTATATGCATATCGTAAATGGTTGCTGAAGTTTATGACACGCAAATGCGTGTCATCTTGCATATCGTAAATGGTTGCAATGTTTTCACTAATATAGAAATTTGAAAATTCAAATGCATTCTCCTCTTTCAACAATCCCTCAAACTTCTGAATTAGATCCTTCTTGATGGTAGCAAAGATATAATTTCCCTGAAATTATTATACAAAAAAACATAGAATAAATGAAATATACCAATGTAAATTAAAGAAATAAAACATACCTATCACATGTTGATACATTTTTGTCAATTAAAACCATATCAATACTTATCAATTCAGTTGAGTTAAAGTAAGCATGTTGCTTCCATTAACGAACAACCTGCCATTTGAACTTCCATCTGTCCCTTGAACTTCCTTAAACGAGCAAGTAAAAAATCTATTGAATTATTCATTGAGTCACAAAATTTCGAATTCCATCTCAAATCAAAACCCTATACGGTGAGAATAGAGAATGTGGAAGAGAGATTATACCTTATATGAGCTAGAGATGGTGAGTTGTGATACAAATCTTCAAAGGAACATCAAAAGGACTACAATATGCCATTGGAGGTTGAGGAATTACCATATTCCAATCTCATAATGGAGGAAAAACATTTTGAATGAAAAAGGGAAACATAGTCTCCCATCTTAAGCTAAAACTTTTTAAATTGGTAAGAATGGTCCCTCTAAACATAACTTTCTTATTTTGACAACCATTTTACAAGGAAATAACTAGAAACACTATAGTTTCTATGATTCACCCTTCTCCATCTTTATTATGACATTTCAAATCATATATGGTCGCTTGTGTCAAGTCTTAACTTTCACAAATTGACAACATTTGTCAT